ATTAAGAATTACTTTTAATCCCTTTTATAAAATTATCTTGTGTCCCTAAACACCCCACTATGGAGTGAGTAGGGATGAATATTAAGAATTACTTTTAATCCCTTTTATAAAATTATCTTGTGTCCCTAAACACCCCACTATGGAGTGACTAGAGATGAACATTAAGAATTACTTTTAATCCCTTTTATAAAATTATCTTGTGTCCCTAAACACCCCACTATGGAGTGTGTAATGATGAACATTAAGAATTACTTTTACTACATTTTTCTCTAATACTACGGTGTATAGGGACAGTTGGAATATATTTAAAAATCCACAAGAGTTTATAATAACAAATAAAAATCATTTACCAGAAAACAGGTGGTAATTAGATGTAAACATATATATATATATCAGATATGATAAAGGGCAAACTGTATCATATATGAAAGAAGTGTTATGCTTCACTGAAAGGATATACACCAAAGTGAATATCATGAAAACACTGATAATCCAGCCAATAATTCATTTGATGAAGTAGCTTTTGGTTCTAATCATCCTGTTTTATGGTAAGCAACATTGTAACTCATTTATTTAAATAATTTGCATTCTTTCATCATCATCAACATTTTGTTGTTGTCTAAACTGCTTAAATTTCACAGGCCTACATTGCCAGAGCTTAAAACCACAACTGCTTATGCCATAGTTTATACCAATTAATGGCTGTGTTGAACGTTAAACATAGTATATAACCTCATATTGTTGATCTTCTCTTCGGCTAATGAAGTAAATTGTTACAGACTTTTGTAAATTTAGTAGGTATTTTATGATAATTTTCAATATGAAGATTTACTGACTTGCATTAGTATAACTGGAACAAAACACAATATATATATATATACATATTTACAAACTAGGTTCTTAAGTTTAAGATATGCTGTGCTAGGTATTTACATTTACAAGCTCGATCATGGGTATTTTTAATAAATAGTCAGGTTATCTGCGAACTTAATGCTTAAGATGAAGGTTTTTGAGGCTAACTCTAGATTTCTTGTCATTGCATATAATTCATAATCTGAAAATTGTTTCTTGGTTTAACAAATAGCAATATATTTTATTTCAGTTCCTTAATTTCATACCAAGCCCATTTCAGTGATTAATATTTTGTTTTATATATCTATGTATGATTAGTTAATAAATTTAATCTTTTTAAGTTTTCAGAATTGTTACACATAGCTGGCTGTAATATTCCTGTCAATTCAAATAGTTTTATTTCAGAATAACTGACTAATGTATAAATACTATATAAATAAATGTATATATATATTTATATAGTTTTAAATAAAGATAACTATTTTTAGATGAAATAACCTTTTTATCAGGTTTAGCAAGGGCAAAATCGGTTCCAAGCAGGACTTATTCTCATGAGGTAGTAACCTTATGGTACCGACCACCAGATGTCCTTCTAGGCTCTACAGATTACACAACTTCTTTAGACATGTGGTTAGTTATTTGATACTACTTCATCTTTTTTTCTTATAAAACTTTTTCTAATGACTAACATTTCCTTTGCTGTCGTTTATGGATTAATTTTGAATTCTTAAGCAATTTTAGGTTTTTATCACTCTCCGGCATCTTAATAAAACTTCATTTTCTTGTAAGTATCTTTATGATCATTATATATATCTGATTTATTGAAAAGGTAATTTCAGTATGGTTTATTGAATAAATTATATGAATACCTAATAAAACAGTTTCCAGTTGGCCCACCTCTTATAAGATAGAGATTTTTAATATGATGGGCTAAGTGCAGCCTAATGGTTAGTGCTTCAGGTTTGCTGATCAAGATTCAGGGCTTTGAGAAATGATGCCCTTGAAAACAATTTCTGCTTTAGGCTCAATATAAAATGGCAGTTTATCCTATTATTTCATTCAAGTAACTGTACAAAGCTCTTGTTGTGATGGATGTCTTCCTTCTGGTTAGTAGTTAGCTCAAAATTAGAGATGGCCATACCTGAACCATTGATGTCTTGACCAGTTAGCCTACATATGCATAAAGTGCTGTTCAATGATGAACAACAAAACAATGGCAGCAACAACGAACATTTGACACGTGTCCATACAGTAAGAAACATTTAATTCTTGAACGTTTCAGAATATACATATTCCATCTTCAGCAAGCTATGTTGAACAGGGTAGATTATTAGGTACAAATATTTATAAAGTTAAAATATTTTATAAAAAGTAGTTAAAATACAAAATAAGAGGATGAAATAAAGTGAAAGACAACCAAATAAACAAAGGTTGGGATAATATTATACAAGTACTCAGAACAGACTTAATTGTAGTCAAGTTGTGTTATTATTTAAAGTTGGGAGTTCGTTTATAATAGATAAACTTTCTTTAATTAAAAATTTGATGATCCAGATGAGATGACTTTGAAATTCGTAATCAAGACAGGGTGTTTGGTGTTTTCACTATGTGTGCGAATTGTGGAGTTTGGCAGATTTGATCATTTTTTAACAGTTCTTCTTGATGCTCCCATATGTTTGCAGGTGTAGTTGGCATATAGTTTTGCCAATGTAAGTGGCATTACAGCCACCACATGTCTTTATATATGATCCTGGAATGCATAGGGGTAGGTAATAGGTCTTCAGATCTGAATAGATTTTGTATTTTGAAAGGTGATTTGAATATCATTTGCAGTTGGACTTGTGATTAAAACGTTTAATTATTCTTAAAATTTGTGACTTCATTATGAAACTTTGCTTACGTAAAAAAGGAACAATCAATTTTAATGGGGATGGTTTCTTGGGGGGTTCAAATTTGGCAGAGAGGAATTTACATGTTAGGGCTTAAATAAAATGCAAGGGATATACATTGTTTATTAAAATGTTCTGTAAGGTGGTGATTTCGGTATGAAGAGAGAGGTAAGATTAAACATCCTTTTTTTTTTGTAAGGGTAGCTTCTTTTATTAACTAATATCTGTTCATCAAAAAAAAATCTAGAAAATGTTTTATACAGCTTAATCTTTAATTAATGTTTAACACATTTTTTTGGAATAAAGAACTTTTAATGTAAGTTTCTTTAACTCCTGAACACTTGACTTTATTTTTTATAGATATAACTTTCTTAAATAATCTGTTAGCTTTTATTAATGGGGAAATCGTAGCCTTAACAGATAGTATGCCACACTGTGAATCTAAGTATTTTTTAGTGATGTAACTTTCTTAAACAATTGCTAACTTTTATTAATGAGCTGATTATGGCCTAGTAGATAGCATGCCATACTGTGGATTTGAGAATCCATGGTTCATGGTCGATCACCACACAAAAAAAAGATTTGCAATTCCACACTTTGGAGCCATTGGGTTGTTATAAGAGTGGCAGTTAAATCCCACTACTTGATTAGAGTAACCCAAGATGGCAGAGGATGTTGTTGAGTAGCTGCCTTCCCCCTAGTCTGTAAACTCAAAATTAGGAACTGCGAGCACAGATGGTCCTTATGTAGCATTGCATGAATATCCAAAACAGAAAGAAACTTTTATTGATCCGATAACACAATTATTGGATTAATTTTATTAATTCAATAAAAGTTTTCAAGTGAAACATTTTTACTCTCCAAGGTTTAATGACTGTAACTAATTTGACAGGTATACTGTTCCAGACTATTAATTTGTGTTTTTATGGAAATAATGTATTTTATTATTTAACAGGAGTATTCAGTTATCTTTGTTATTGTTCTCTCCTGGGTAATTCATTGTTTTGGTAGAGATTATTATTTATTTAATCTCGCAACAGAAAGATGTTTTTTATCTCCAGGGTTATAGAAGATATTTTTATGAACTATTTGAGTAAGGTGATAAAATATTTTTTCTCCTCATGTGTTTGAAGAATATTAGTCTTTTTATCTAACTAATTTACAGTAGTTACGTGTAATGCTACTCTTTCTCCAAAGTAATGGAAGCTTATTTCTGTAGAAGCTGTGTAAACAGTCAGTTTCATTAGAATTAAATATACTTTTTTGTTTTTACTCCTCCTCTTTTATTTTTCCTCTTCAGAGTTATGAAATGTAAGATCTAGAAATTATTTTTCTAATTAATTTTATAAAAGTTTGATTATTTTCTTTTTTCTGTAGGGGAGTTGGGTGTATTTTTATAGAGATGATTTCAGGAGCTGCTGCTTTTCCAGGTGTTAAAGATACAAATGATCAGCTAGATAAAATATGGAGGGTAAAACACATTTTCAAATTTATACTTGTGTTTGTCTTAAGTTTATGTAATAAAATTATGTACGTGGCATCATTATTATTGTTTTAAGTTAATTAAGTATCGGTAAATGGCTAAATTGTGTAGACTAAATACTTTTTAAGTATTATCTCACATTTTTACAGGTTAAAACTTAAATAACTAGCCCTGAATTCTAACTATTTTGCACTTTCTTTAACTCTTATGAACATATCCTTACTGTATATTGTTATCATGACATTTTTTGGTCAAAGCATTTGAAGTTCTTTGCATATGCAATAATACGAAGAATTCATTCTCTAATATCTTGTAAAGAGTACATAAAATATGATAATCAAAGCTCTTAGTTATGTTTATTTTAATCTGTGCACTAAAATGTCTCCTTTTTTATGTATTATCCTGTATAGTATGAGGTAAGTTGTGGACTGAAGCTTTCCCCTTTGTGTCTTTAACTTTTAAAACAGGCATGTCACATCCAGCCCATGAGGTGGTTTTATCTGGCCCTCGATGAGTTCTTAATTTTATTATATTTTAAGGACTCATCGTGGGCTGGATAAAACCACCTAATGGACCGTACTTGGCACATGTCTGCTTTAAAGAGTGGGGTAATTGTTATTCTTGTTCACTACTAATATAATCAATGAGTATTTATTTGTATTTTGATACATGGGGGGGTCAAAATGTGCATGACACAACCTTTTACAGAGTGCTATTCAACATGTCATTTTTTATTTGATGTCAGAGGTATCAACTATTCATCTTATCCTACACTGCTGATTTACTAACAGTTTGTGATAGAAAAGAGTAAGTACCATGAAAAAACTGTAGATGTGCATTTTGGAGGCTGTAGTGGTTATGCAATATGCAAACAATACAATGGACAAAAGTATTTTTATTCTTCACACGAATATCACATTACACTCCAACTTTTCAAAGTCTGAGTGAGACTGATGTTGGCAATTTACAGGCATATCTTGAGTCAACATTCCTTCTCCAGTGTAGGGTTAGCCCAGTTGACTGACCCTGTGTACATTCATATAAATACAAAGTAAAGATGCTGTTTAAGTTGGAATTATTAACTTTTTTTTACTTAGAACAAACAGCGAGTTAATATTTGTATTTGATATACATACTTGTCTATTAACATCGATACACATAAGTGTGTAAAAATTGAAATTTGGCTGGAAGGGTTTAGACTGAAGTTATTTTTTTGTGTGCTATTCTGTGCAAAGTGTACAGTTTGAACCTACTATACAGGTTTTGTCATTTTTATTAGATTTCAAGTTGCTGGCAAATAATTAATGATAATAATTATTCCAAACTGTTGCTTTAGTAATACAGGACAAATTTATATCACCAAAAGATCGTTTTTGCCTATACAGTTAGATTTAAAAAATACACATTTTATACCACTACAAATGAACAAAACTTGATTACTAAATCTACATGCACAGCTGGATAGCCTCATACTCTTTTACTTTTTATGAAAGAATACAATGGTGTGCATGTCAACAAAATATACAAAAGCTGTCTCCGACACATAGTCACCTGGGTGGCGCAGCAGTAAATCCAAGGGCATATAACACTAAAAATCACGTTTTGATCCATGCAGTGGGTGGAGCATAGACAGCCTATTGTGTAGTTTTGTGCTTAACAACAAACAAACAAAAAGAAATACATGTATAATTCTCATTTATGTAATGGTTTTTAACGTCAATCTAACTGGGCTCATGAGAGCTAATACAGCTTAAAGTTGCAGTTATTATTTAGTCAGGTGATGTAAGAACTTTTGTCCAATAGATGAGCAAATATGTTTCATGCTTCAATACTAATTTCTTTATTTTTAATCATTTTAGGTACTTGGTACTCCAACAGAAGAAACTTGGGAAGGAGTTACTCGTTACCCTAACTATAAATCAGGTTTGTAGGACTTTATTAATACTATTTCTAACACAGCTGTAAACCAGGTTTGTAATGCTGCATTATTATTATTTCTAACACAGCTGTAAACCAGGTTTGTAATGCTGCATTATTATTATTATTATTTCTAACACAGCAGTAAACCAGGTTTGTAATGCAGTATTATTACTGTTTCTAACACAGCTGTAAACTAGGTTTGTAATGCAGTATTATTACTGTTTCTAACACAGCTGTAAACTAGGTTTGTAATGCCACATTACTACTATTTCTAACACAGCAGTAAACCAGGTTTATGATGCTGCATTATTACTATTTCTGTTATCCGATGTTGGCCTAATCCAAGAATTATTAATTTATGGAATTCAAACAGGAATCTCTTACTTGATAGACTTAATATAATGAATACACAAGTACTTTCTTTCTTCAAATAAAAGCTTGTTTAAATAGTTTAAATCTAAGTTTATTACTGTAATAATGGCTTCTTTTTCTTTACATTTTTATGCAGTAGTTTTGTTCAGGATTCTATTCAAACTTTATTATTTTCCTTTCCAAGAATTAGGTAAAATCGTTATACAATAAAGTAAAATCCTCATAAAAAAATACAAACTTATCACTGAAAAGATTAGCATGTAATCATACTGTAGATAGCTCCTGGAGATGCCTTAAGGATAAAGTTGTTTAAATATTGAGCATTAAACAACTTTATATGGAGAAAGTGTATTTACTATATTAAACTGATCCAACAATTTTTTCCACAGTTGTATTATCTGATATGTGGACTCCTCGTAATCATCTATTAGGTCGTCAAGAAATTAATGTCGCGTTTTGGAACATTTTCGTCAACCATCCCCCAAAAAACGTACAACATGTATAATAGTTAAATGAACCACCTAAATGCCACGTTATTGTAACCTATATAATGTGTAAAGTTTAGTATGCTCTAATCCCTTATAGTGATGGCACATGAGTGAGACACAC